TGATGACACATCATCGATGTGCGATGTTGCAGCAGTTTTCATCATCGTATCCTTTACAGTTAAAGAGAATGATCTTGTTGCTTGCGATGAGCTCTCGTTTTTTCCTAAACTCATGGACAATGTCTTGACAACSTCCAYTGTTTCTGTCYATGGTGATGACGCTAGTTGCATCGTGTGGTTTTGCTTTGTATACGTGGTWGTTACGASTTTATCAGATAACACAGTGGTTGTTGYTCTTGATATTGTCATGGTAGGSTGTGGTTTTGAAGACARRGTCTCCTGGGATTGAGGTGAAGCGTCTACATACCCCGGAYATGCGTAGGAAGAGACTGTTACCACATGGAGATCTCCTGATAGAGATGCTGTYACTGTTGGCTTSGATACATCAAAGTGCGATTCCGTWGTTGATTTTAGTGATGATGAAYTTAAGGATTTCGAAGATGRAGTTGAGAAAGCATTGGACAAGACGGTTACCGAAGACAACCCTTTAGATATAGACGCTTTGACTGTAGACTTGGATGCATAGTCAAAGTGAGCTTGCGGTGTCGATTCTAGTGAAGCAAGTGATGAWGACGTCAAGGTGACCCGCGATGATGACGATGGCATTGATTGTGATGATCTTGAAGGTGATGACGATAACGATGATGATGATGATGACAGTATATTTTCAAACGACGATCTTGACGACGATTTGCGCCTCGATGTTGACAATCGTAGGGAGGATTGTGTTGTTAATAGAGAGGAAGCAATTTTAGATTGTTGAATAGCTGAATTCATTTCCAATGATCTATCACTTGCTGAACTTGACGAAAACTTTGGTCTTGAAAACTTCATTATCTTTGATGTGGAGTGTGAATCCTTGGTTGAAAATTTCACCCTTTCATCTAAGATACTGGTAGACTCGGGCATTTTTGATGTTCGTGACACAAATGCCAACGAAGGTGTTGGTTCTATTGACAGATTGGCAGTGCTTTTAGAATGAGTATATACAGTGCTTGACATGGATAAATGCTCCTCTCTTGTCTTTGCAGCTTGTGATTGTGATGACACCGAAGAAGTTCCCCGAAACAATGGAGGTGTTGATTTGAGAGTACTTCCAGAAGATAATGCTCGCAATGTCGACGAGGTCTTCATTTTTAATGCCATGGTCTGTTTTGAAGTCGATAGCAAGCTAGACGGTGTATTTTGTAGGTTTTCATATTCTGCAGGACAATAAAAGTGATTTAGCATGTTTAACTCTCTAAGACCACGTTGGTAAAGACGTTGTTCTAAGCACTGCTATAACAACTACGGCCGTGCTCGAGTTCGTATGTACACCTTATTATCAATTGATTTCTATTAATTTCTGAATGTATTTTAAACGCAGTTCTTCCCTTACGTGACGCACGCTATGCCGTTACGTAGGTGTAATCTGAGATTGCGTTACTGACAGAGACATAGTCCGTATAGTGATGACACTGCGTTATCYTGAAAGATCTATATATGTGTGTTTRATTACTCATCTTACAACACCGTTATCAATTCTTTATTTTCATTTAGACAATAATAAATGCTATGGCAAAATTATRTGTTCTTGCTACAAAAATGCGGTTTGGTTGATGGTAATACTACGATAATACTACAATTGGAGAAACTGAGATAATGTTTCACGTGAAAAATACCAAAACCTTTTTTAAAATCTTTTTAACATAATATTAAATTAGCTAGTTCTATGCTTTTCTTAAAATGACCTAATCAAATTATCATCAATTTATTGGCTTTTATTACAAGTTGTATTAGAACGAGTTGTGGTCAGCAWCGTTACCTCCTGTAGCGACGGACAATGATGACGCTATAGGACAATTTGAAGGCTGAAAGTAAAATACTGTCAACCCAGGAGTGCTTTCCTGTTGATCWAGCCCGTTAATTTTTGCTTTGTTTTATATCATCTGTGGTCATTTGTGGCATTAACGGATTAGACCAACGTCTGCGGTAATAAAAGTTAAAGATCTTTGGGAGTTTCGCCCGTCTCAAAGTCTGAAATTCTTGTGTGATCACGATAAGTCGGTCCTTATTTAAGAGTCATTAACWAAGAATAAAACATGGGTTTAGCTCGAGTTTACGCTCTATTTGGCACCAGAAATTATATTTCACTTAGTTTCTTAAAAGCGCCCGAAATGCGCAAACAAACTGACAYCAAGAGMGTAGGTTTAGGTAAATAGTACATTGATATGGCGAGAGATATAMAAAGTGTAAATTAACTGTGTAGAACTAATTGTGGATGTTCAACCGTGACAAATCAGATTACTAAGTGCAATATCAATGAATATCGATATGGCGTGACAATTGCTTCGATCCTTTTCTCATTCGCGAACCACTGCTTTAGCCATATATTAGACAAACATCGTCGACCTTTTTGTACATATTAGAAAGTGAACAGTGTATGAATTGTATTGATGGATATTGGTGCTTGTACAAACAAATTTTAAATACAAACAAGGAAAAGAAGAATAACTCACCCGCAGTTGAAGTAGAATTTGTTTGTTTGGTGGTTGTGTTTGAAGGTYTTTCTTCTTTCACGTTTCTACGTTGACGGTTTTTAAAGTGTTCACAGTCTTCTTGGAAAACTGTGGCCAGTTCTACGCACTTCAAGTGAAACGCTCGACACCACTCGGTTGTTGTCAAGTAGGATGACAGTGTGCGTGGAGAACTAGAAGTAATTGACGTTAAAAGTTCTTTAAAAGCTTCCTTTTTGAGTGCGAAGTAAAGTTTTATTAGCACTCTTTGTTTCTTACAGCAAAATGTTGCAAATTGTGGGGATGTTTTGGTTATTGTCCTGACAGCCTGCGAGGCACATGTTTCCCTGTATCGAGCAACTCGCTCGTTTGTGTGACACACTTTTGAGCACAGGCATGTTTTCGATTTCTGTACCAAGTTCTGAACGTTTTGAAGGCATTTTGCTTCTTTAGCGGTTGTTGCGTTCAGAGGAATTGATATTCCCTCAATGGAGCATTGAATGCCAGATCTGTTAGTGCAAACACATATTGTAAAGTCACCTCCACTTAGCTTGCATTTACGGGATCCGGTCATGCACTGGACCACAAGGATTAAAGTCAAGAAGACGGCGTTTGTAATCCTTCTCATGTCCTGTTTTCCAATATTTCATCAAATAAATAAAACCGCTCTTGCTCTAGAAAGCGAAACTGTCTCTCATTCCACATGGCTTATGATACGCAAAGAAAACTGTCATGTTTGACTGCTTTTGTTAGCACTTGAAAGCGGAGATTACATCCGAATGCTTACCGATCTAAACGATTGATTCTCGAGACTGTAGCGAGACGGATTTAGCACATTGGACCCCACCAACTGCATAAGCCAATGTGTATTCCAACGTTGTGGTTTGTATAGCCTAGATTAAGCTCACTGTTTATATGTCTTTGCTGATGCTCACTGGACGAGACCTTCAGAGTGTTTATATTTGGATCTTTCAGTAGTAGTGTCTCGTTCCTAAAGCTAACCGTATCGTAACTGCAACAATGATAAGGGCGGGGTTATCAACTCCAGTCATCTAAGCCAAACATTCGTACGCATAAAGTGAGGTTGTGGTGGTTTTGTAACAACATTCAAAGCAAATTCCCGGCGCCGCATGACTTCGTAACAAATCGTTTCATTTTTCTGAATGTTTTGACAGAATAATAAAACTAACCGCAAAAAAGGTCTAAATGACTTCGCGCGCGTAAAAGATTACTAGCATAAATATATTATACTAGTTCTTTTTTTCGCGTTAACTTGTGAAATAACTTGTGTTTTATTCCCCTGCAACAGGTGGTAAATTGTGGATAAAAGAATCAGATGAAAAGGAAGTGTTTATTATTATGGTTCCGCGAACAATGCATTGTTTAGACGTATTAGCGCTTTTTAACTGACACTTCTCTTAAAGTAATATTACGTACTACTTTTGTACAAACGCTTTCGTACTATTGATGTCATTTTAACATCATTAAAGAGTTTTTCTTCTATGGCTCACGTCAAAATCCTTTGGCAATAGCGCTTGCTGACAGTAGTCCAGTACCCCACTGGTCAAGCTAGACGCCAACATTATGCATATAACATTTTTTAATTCACTTTTTTAAAGCTCTGTCATCAAAGGGTTTTAGTGCGGCATGGCAAAACTTCATTTACTTAAGCTTTTCCTGCTTTTGGGTAATCCTTGATCGTTTTTTCTAAATTTTAGCCTAATTGTAGCTTTGTATACGGCCACATAAATAGTCAATAGCCAACAATAAGCTGAAAGCATGCGAATTTGAATATCCAAGATCCTAATAGGCATAGGGTTAAAGTTTTATGAATGAAATGTTAAAAACAACAAAATAAAAAAGTGAAAAAAAGGGAAAGTGAAAGAAAAAAGAAAATACAAAAAACATTGAGTCAATCCAATTGTCAAACATTGGGTTTGTTTTTAATTTTCTGCATGTTTTACGGTGTATGGTATTGGACACCTGCTGGTGTAGATATTTGAATAAATATCAATTCTAAGCTTGACGTAAAACTGTGCCTGACTATTCCTGTGATCATATGCACTCTGTTGCTTTAGAGTTCAATATTAATTGATAATAGCGAAAGCGGTACTACTGTTACCTTGAGAAAACCTTTTGGTAACTACTTCCTGTAACTATATGATAGCAGTAGCTGCCGTAAGCTGCKTGTCAGTAAAATTGCACTACTGCGATGTAGTAAACATAATATTTTTATCTGTCTATCCTTTGTTAGTCATAAAAACACCGCCGCGAGTCTCAGGCATTATAATGATTAGTCATTGCTGTCATGATGTTCTACCTGTCAGCAATCCCTTCTAGAGTAAGACATTTCTCTTTGTTTTTCGAGATATTTCATAACTCTAGTGCGCTTATTACTTTTACTTTGTCTGTCAATCTTATTTATCTAACTGTATYTCTAAATTATTATCCCTATACGCTTTCTTTGACTATCATTTTTTTTCACTAGGTCAAAAATTTTTGGATTCTAACAGTTAATATCTCGGACTATTGTCTAGCAAATAGGATTCAGTTTTTGCCACATGAGCAGTGCCACGTTTGAATCAGAATTAGTTTCGGATCGTATTTCTAAGTTGCTTATTTATCTAACTATATGTCTAAATTATTATCCCTATACGCCTTCTTTGACTATCATATTTTTATAACTAGGTCACAAATTTTTAGATTCTAACAGGTAATAACCTCGGACTATTGTCTCGCATAGCAAATAGCATTCAGTTTTTGACACATGAGCAGTGCGACGTTTGAATCAGAATTTGTTCGGCGTTTTCGCTTCCATGATGTCGTCTTCAAGACTTTTGAGAGTTATACGTTAAGAAACGAATTAATAGCGTCTTCTATATCCGGGGTATGTTTGAAGCAATACCGGCCTCCGTGTACCTGGAAATATATGCAAGTAAATGTAATGCCTTCTTGTACCCGGGATATGTTTGACTGAGTAGTGTCGACCTTCGTGTACCCGGGATGTAGACGCTTYTTTACATTAACAGCATGTTTCAGCCATTGGCGATTCTTGTTTGTTTCCGTCTTTGGCACTTGATTRGTCCTTATCTTCCGAAATCTTACTAAGATCATTTTTTTGAGCCAGCGGTAAAGTGAAACGAGGTTTTTTGGAACATGCGCATTCAACACCCAAATGAACGGACGTCACTAAATGCTCATTTTGTGTTGGCCTGGATATTCTTGTTTCTTTATGGTTTACTATGACTTGCGATTCGTTAGAATTTACGTCGATAATGTTGGCGTTGTTTTCAGCTGTTAATTCCCCGTCACTGTTGTAATTACTTATAACAACAGATTCAGGTATTGGTTTG